TTTTTAAAGTCGAAAAAGTAATTTTTAAATTTGAATTAGCTTAAATAGCCAATTTTATCATGCAACAAATAGCAACGAACAGTTGCCGAATGGGTAACATGTTGATCTTTCACGCCTAGGGTACGAGGTTCACATCCGTCTATGACTACCAAAATTTTGCATTTTTTTTTTGAGTTAAAATAGAATTTTCAAATCATTTGATATTTATCTCATTTAGATTCAATAATTTCAATAAATATAAAGGATCTTATCACTATAGTCTCCCCTCGTGAGAAGAAATTGATATTCATGTTAATATTATTTTACTATGTGGTTCTTTTTCTGGCTACGATTTATTTTGCCAACCCTCACTAGACCTACTTTTTTCAACGATACGTCAAATGATTCATTTAAGTTTATGATATTTAAGTTAATGATTAGTTTAAGTTATTACTCTTAAAAATCAAAAAAATATTCCTTATTCAAATAAAAAGTAGCTTAACTAGATTTGTCCATACAAACAATTAAAATCATTAAAGTTTAATATTTTTAAAGTATTTATTGTCGAATTAGATTTGATATGATAAAAGTATTCAACTACAAAAGTAAATAATTTTACTTTATAATTTATTAATTTTTTAACTCTATTTATGTGTGCTACTACCAGTCTATAATATGCCAAATTTTTTTGTAATATGTTGCTATATAAATCATAAATTTAAAAAAAAAATGATTNTATAAATTTAAAAAAAAAAATGATTTTTAGTTTCACCTGAAGTTAACGTTGGATTTTTACAATTATAATTATATTTTTGATAATACGCTCAATTGAGTAAATATTTTTAACTACTTTGGTTTGATTGGTTCATTTAATTAAAGTAAATTATTAAAATTAATTAAGTTCTGAATATTTCAATTGCAGAATTTTTTTAAACACCAAAAGTTATTAGGATATGATTACTATTCTTTCTATTTCAGTTATCTATTACGATAAAAATGTAAAAAAATCAAATTTTTCTGATAAATGTACTGTAAATAGTAATTATAAAATTTCCAGATTGCATATTAATCTTAAAAATTTCATTTTTTTCAATTTAATAATGTCAATTTCAAACTTGCAAGTTGAACTNCATTTAATAATGTCTATTTCAAACTTGCAAGTTAAACTATAAGTTATGGTAACAAATTCATTTTTTAGCTTCGATGCGAAGCTGAGAAGGTATTTTTCATTAAAACTTTCACTTTAAAAGACAATAAAAAATAGGTTCAAAATGATTACCTTTAACATATTAAAAATCAAAATCAGTATTAATTTAATACAATTTTTTTTGTTCTTAATTATTTTTTTTTATATGTAAATACTTATTTTTTAATAATAAGTAATAATATTAAAACTTAGAAGTAATAGAAAAAGTTTAATTGCACATTTGAAAACATCACGAAAAGTTTATTTAGAAAAGTATATTTTTTTTCTGATGAAAGTTCCTTTTGTTTAGTGTATTTATTCATAAGTAACAAAATTTTTTTATTAAAAAGTATTGCATAAATTCCTTTAAATTTGTATACGCATTAAAAGTATATGAATATACAACTCCTTTTTATTTTTATAATATCTCCGTAAAAATTACAATATTATATTATTGAATACCACTTTCATACTTAATTTAATTACTGTAATTATTATGTATTGATATATTATAATTATAAATCGGGGTAAAATTAAGGGAATAAGTGTTATTGTTGTTTTTGAAATACTCTACCAATTTCATTTTTTTCTATTTAATGATATTATTTCAAACTTGCAAGTTGAGTTAAAAGTTATGGTAATGAATTAATTTTTTTTTTTATTAAAACTTTCATTTTAAAGAACAAAAAGAAGTTGGTTCAAAATGATTACTTTTAACATATTAAAAATCGATAATAATTTGAAAATAATTAATTATAAAAATTATATAATATATAATTAAA